ACCCACTCACGGTCGCGTGGCAGAATCTCTCGATGGCGCTCCTCCAGAAGGCTGTGGCGGAGTATCATGATAGTATTTAATATGCTCTTTAATATGGTAGTAAAATGTCCGATAAGAATTTAATAAAGTGTAACTTATAGCGCCTCGAAAGTCAAGGAAGAAAAGTTTTTTTTGCCCCCCCCCCTGTATATTAAAGTTGTTTTGATGTGATCATTGCTCTTCGACGCCACAGTTCGCGCTCCGAAAGTTATCATGAAAACGCTGAGCCACAGACAAAAGTCAGATCCCAGGCGGGTCTCAAACCCGCATTTCCCGCTATCCTTTATGCCACCAGGCCACTCTGACCCTTGCAGTTGAGTTGCTTCCTGGTTTTCAGTTCGAGACTAGAATGCACTCGCTCAGTCTGTGGGAGATGCGGGATCGAGCCCCGCCTGGGGTCTGTTTTCTGCCCATAACGCAGCATTTTTGTGATATTACTTTTGTTTATATTACGTATATATTGTACTACATTCGCTTTAAATCTGGAATTTTGATCTTTTGGCATGCGAGACTAGCGTTTTACAGACTTTTGGCTCGTTGCACCGCACAATAGCTGCTTCTTGCTCCATCACGCTTGCTCTCATAGAGGGGTTTTTCGGGCTATGAAGCCGTTTTCAAAGCAGTTTTCGCTTCCCAGAGTAGCGCACAGGAACACTGAAATTCACCTGATCTGTGCTCATGTCTGTATGAGATCCAACAACAGCTTCGAAAAATGAGCTTCATAACATGAAAAACCTCCTTGTTAATCTGATTCCGACCTGCGGGACAAGTCGATGGTTCAGGAGTGGTTGACTAAAGTTTAAGTTTTGTTGAAGCATAATTAATGGCAGATACTTGGCAAATTTTCAAGAAGATAGAAAAAATCCAGCTACCTTCTCGTGAAAATTTCAGGGTGTTTCGGGTGACGAGCTGCTCATTCAGCTAGATACCGAAAACACAAGTTTGAGGTATGGTTCTTCAAACCTTGGATTTCATCCTATGAATAAGTATGTTTCGTTAATTAGTTTCTTCCAGGAATCAACGTGAGAAAGCCACATTCATGTTGACTCCTGAAATGTCACCTGTGGAGCATTCATCAGTTCCCGCTAGTTCAACAGTGGGAGTTCCACCTCACGAGACTTCCTCAACATCCTCAGAAAAGGGACTCACAACGTGCACTAGTGAAATCAACGCTGCCAATCATTCGCTGGATGATGTATCCAAGCCCGAAACATCGCGAGAACCTGTAGATCGAGTCTCATCAGCGAAGGAAGACTCTCCGCTAAATCCGTCGTCATTAGAATCCGCCGGTGAATCGGATCCTTCCATGAAACTACTAGAGCAAGCCGGAATCTTTCCTATTGATATACTCCAGACAATGCCTGAAAAATTGGAAGAGAATGGATCACAGCCCTCACGAAGTTCTGGTGTTAATGATCCTCGCTCGACATTCGAATCAACACCGACCTGCTTTCGTGTGTCGCAAGTGGATGCTGCGCTGGGGTCACAGCCCTCGCAAACAAAATCAACTGGTGAACCCAATGGAAGATCGGCTGCTCCACATGATTCTCAAGCGAACGAAATTAACTCGAAGCTGACACCAAGTGTACTGGTATGTTATAGTCCATTCTACTCTATGGGGTCATATAACGAAAAGACTACGTGAGACGTTGTCGTACTCGGAGAGTTTGAGAAAAGAAACCCTTACTGTTTTGCTCGCCGATGGAGGGGGTTTTAAGGCGTGAGGAGTTTTGGCGCCAAATCCATTCTCCACCAACTGTTGACACGGGTAAGCCACAATCACTGGTGCAAAACCTCTGATTCGAATTATTTCACACAGTTTTGTCACTTGACACACACTCAACAGCTGGTGGAAAACGAGATTGGCGCCGCGTCAAACCCCTCCCGTCTGACATGCCCTTCCTCCGCAGCGAACAAGACTGAACCTGTTGACTGGGAGAACTGGATAATAAAGGAATCGGCGAGAAGGTCTGGATACGCCGTAGACCACCCACAGAATCGCGTCGAAAGAGAGGAAAAAGCGAATTCTCTAATCATCTCGATGTCCAGCCCTTTTCGCCGACTTTTCTGAAATTCGGCTACTTCGTGCTGCATCAACAGTGAGCAGTGCTCAGTGGTCGTGCTGAACCAGTAGTATCTAAAAATACTGCAGCACGATTTCACATTTCTGACAAAATGACTCATTTAGGATGGTCTCAAGTTCCCAGACATAGATGCAACTGTCATTCAATATCTCACCTTCATTCGTAAACAAGTCATGGACTACCATGAAAATCAAGGAGTAATTCCGAGGGTACGTACAGTTAAGATTCGTGCAAACGATAGGGAAGAGGGCTTGATTTGGTGTGCAGCCAGATCAGATTGCATCAGCTGTATTGGGCTCGATATGGCACCATTGGTCGAGAAAGCCATGGCTGCGCTGTGATTCGCACGCCCTATCTTTTGATGGGATCGTAGCTGTAGCTTTATATTCATACCTTTTTACGTAAGTCTGCGTTTTGACCAGCTTTCACTATCTATTGATTACGTTCAACTGTCAGTCTATCACTTCGGCGACATATACAAATAGTAGCTTATATCTTGAGGAGGGACAATGATTTGGACTGTTTTACTTGGGCAGGGGGGGGGTATTTTATACTGCCGCTAATTTCTTTCGCTAGTTCTTGTTAACTTACCATCCCACCTTGATGACAACTACTGTGACAAAAGCAGACGATTCTCGCGCTGTTTCATAGCTTCGAAGGAGTTTACAGGTCTCCACAGGAGGCATTGGCAGTTAAAAAAGCCCCTACCAGGACGACTTACGCCGTATAGTTCTTGTCCTGGTTATGACAGACACACAGTATCACAATTTGCTAGCTAACAGCCATGTTGCCGCGACACGCAAAAGGTATTGTCAGCGTACTTCCTATATTGTTGACCGCAGCGCTCCCGCCTTAGACAGCGTTCAAAATTGTCAATGACGCGCGTCGACGCGCTGAAACGCGCTACGTTGAGTAGTTTGGGTCGAGATGGGAATGTCAGCCTGCCCGCAAGACCTATATGGCCGCACTCGCCGCTGGGAAGTACGCTTCACACCCGATTCCACCCAAGTACAGAATCAGGTATCAACTGATAAGTATTTCGTATTTCGCGAATTCTCCGGCTCCTCAGTTTTGCGAGGTAGGAATGCCGCCTTACCTTAACTCCAGGCTCGAGAAAACTGGAACCAGTTCGATCTGTTCATGAGCTGTATGTAATTTTGTCTGCGACACCGCCCACTTTCGGCGCAGCATGCCCACTGTGCGCAGGGCTTGGCATAGGTCGAGTGTGCTTTTTCCTCCTTTCCGATGCACTGACCATCCCAACCTTGACCCGACCTCTAAGCTGTTCTTCTGGCTTGACCGAATTTCCGGACAAAACAAACAAAAAGACGCAGCAAACCATATATATAGTGGGTGATTTTGGTCCAAAGATTGAAATGAATTAGATGCAAAGTATTTGCATTTTTGAAAAGCGTTCATTTACAGTTGGAAAATATCCTTGCTTGTTTGCGTGAAACTATTTCGAATGAGTGGATTGATTATGTGTTGTACTACATCTCAGATGTGAGCGTTATGCCAGTCGATGGACAGGTTTGATTTCTTTCTTCATCTTATTTTACCTAGCATCTGTAGTTCTCTACACTCCAATAAGATGAACCATTAGAGGGACTCTTTAATCGGAATCGGGGTGACCGAAACCCGAATAGGTTGTTTTGTCACTCCAGGAGCTCCTTTTTTCCTTTCCTGAGCTAATGGTTTGGTAGAAACCCGTTGTTTGGTTTTCGCACAATACTGTGGCAGCAGAATGCCCCTCTTTATTGGATTAGCACATTTATAGTCTGTTTCGCTGCGGATGATAGGGCGTGTTCACGCGGCTGCGTTTGGCGCGGCGCCACCCATTTCCTCTTTTTTGGTAAAGCGACAAATACTATATCATATCGTTTGTGCCGGTGATTTTTTCACTAGTTGTCACTTACCCGCTTAAGGAATGGTAGAAAATGGGTTCGGCAGCATGCCAAGTGCAGCCGCGCGGACACGCCCCATCATCCGCAGCAGACCAATTTATACCATTTTCGCTTTAAACTCACCACTTTTCGAACCAAACTCACCACTTTCCAAACCAAATTCACAACTTTCCGAATCGAATTCACCACACGTTTTGGACCGGACAATTAATCGACGAGATCACGCTATACACCACCGTGAGCCCCGTCCCAAAGGCCACTGTTCCTGCTACTACTTGCCTGTTCGGCCATAAATTTTTGAATTTTGCTTCGTATTTCTGTTTCTATGAATGTTTTTGTATTTTGCTGATTCACCCACACACTTTGACTGAAAGGACTGGACACCGACACATCGCCTACTCCGCCCATTTTTTTTCAAAGAGTTTGTTGTGAGCTTCTATTTTTCATAACTTTTTTCTGCTTTGTTAGGTTCACACCCACGCTTCACAGATCGGGGTACTCATCGACGCGCAATTATGCACCGACAAATTGAGCTTCGCCCCCTTGGCCACAACCGCTTTGCATCTGTTTGCGGAATTTTGATGTTTTTTTCAGAATTTTCTCACTTTTGGACTTCTACAGGAAGCCCTGCCCACCACGGGAAGCTCCACCACCCGCTTTGTAAAAGTCCCGCCCACTTTTGGAGAACGACGCGGATCGGCAGTTCAAAGTCTGAGCTGGCATGTTAGGGTCTCATTCGTCACACAGGGAACGGAAAACCAGGCAAAGTTTGTTCCAGTGGCGAGCGGGATCTCAACATACCATTTCAGACCCTAAACCGTCAAACCGCATCATTTTTCAAAAGTGGACGAGGCTTCTTCAAAGTGGTCGGAACTGGGTGGGGCTTCCTGTGTCCAAAAATGTGAGGATTCCAAGAAAACATCAAAATTTCGCAAACAGATGCAAAACGGTCGTGGCCAAAGGGGCGGGGCCCAATGTATCGGTGCATAAATGCGCGCTTATGAGTACCTCCGTTCTGTGAAGAGTATGTGAACTTACCATGCCAGAAAAAAGGTTATCAATGCTTGATGCAGTATCGCTTTAGCATCGAAAACCCTATTAGTGCTCTGACGTTGCCATTTTTATATTTTGTTCCCTATTGTTATGAGAAGCTCATTATAATACTAATAAAAGAATTAAGTTTATACGAGTAAGTGTCACTATCAACACAAGTTATCATGTAGATTCCATAAATGTCTAATGTCTGTTCTCATGTCTGTTCTCATGTCTGTTTTCATGTTCTACTTCCTTTTCTTTTTCCTTTTCCTTTTCTCTTTCTTTCTCCTTTTCCTTTTCCTTCTCCTTTCTCCTTTTCCTTTTCCTTCTCCTTCTCCTTCTCCTTTTCCTTTTCCTTTTCTTTTTTCTTCTTTCTTGAATGCGTCTTCTGTAAATGCACTTTCCCTAGAAACTTTCGATGGGGCAGTCGAAGAGCGCAATGCCTGAAAAATCCCTCCCGTTCCCCTGTTGGAATGCTCTCCCCTACGTTCAACAAGAATGACACCACCATTTTCTGCCAGGACAGTGAAAGAAGTTCTAAGGACACACTGCACGATTTTCTGAGGGGTGGAAAGTCCTGCACAAACTAGTGTTGTACGCTGCGCATCATAGGCGTGTCAGAGGGGATGGGTTTGGCGCAGCGGCAACGTTTCTTGTTTTTTTTCTGGGATGTGTTTGGCACACTGCCAGCGAATTCCAATTTTTTTCCGGAATAGCTCTGGCGCAGCGGGAGACCCGTTATTTTTGTCTATTTTTTTCTGGCGACGAGCGAGAAGCTGCATCATTTCGTTCGTATCAGTTGTTCCCACCATTCGTCACCTACGCTCTGCAGCAACTGCTGGAGAATGGGTTGGCGGCGCGCCAAACCAGGCCTCACTGACACGCCCCGTCATCCGCAGCGAACAACACTATTTCCTAGCTATTTAACCTTATGTGCACTTGAAGACGCTACGACTTGTCTAACTAGGGATGGTCGTCAGGTCGAAGTGGCCATTTGTAATGAGATGTAGCTCACTAGACGTGGTTTTGGACGCTGATCTCGAATCTGCTTTCGAAATTTGCAGAACGATTCTATGAACGGAGTTATGGCGCTTTTTCCACCACGTTTACCACGCAACAGGTCGTGGGATCGGATCCCTGCTGGGCTTAACTTTTTTGCTTCTTGTGCAAACGTGGCAAAAAGTGGTTGTGGCGTCACTGCTACATTAGCGCTCTCCTTTACTTGCCTGAAAAAACATTTTTTGTTCGCTTACTGGCGCGTTTAGTGCCTTATGTGGCCTAGTGCCTCTGGGAGAATTTGTGGATGTACAGGTGCCCTTGGCGCGGAGTGCAGGCGTTTTCGCGCTGAGCGAGTGCCATATTCTTGTTTATCGGAGCGAACTACGCCTAGGTGGAGGTTTCTAGCCAAATCTGGCGTTTTGACCTCACATCGACAAGTGAAGCATCCATGGGTTCATTCATTCGATGTTCACACCTATTCCACTGCAGATACATTCTCCTGCGCAAAGCCTCGTCTTGCCATTTCTTACGCATCCATTTTGTTACTGCTCCGTTTTCCTGGTATCTCAAAGCAAGTTCCGTCCAAAGACAAGCAATCGACAAGAGACTGGCCCTGGAACTACTGGTGACCATCATTCGATCAACTGCTACCGCACTTTTCATAGTTAGGTCAAAAACTCACTTCTGGCTAGAAAGCTGTCCCTCAGGGTAGTTTTACGTCCTGCAAACACGAATATAGCGCACCATTTGGCATTTGAGTGCTTTCCAGACTTAAAAGAGACATTCCCCACAAAATGCAAAACAAGTTCCCTTCCATAAATCCGAACCCTTCATGGCATGCCCGCGAAGCAAGACCATTACCACTACACCAAGCCACCGTTGAACGAAACCGTGCTTCCCGGCTATTTATGCGAATTGGCTGGCAACCGCGCTCGACTCTGTTTTCCTACATTTCAATTCTAAAAACCTTCATAATTCCGCTCATAGAATCGTTCTGCAAATTTCGAAGGCAGATTCGAGATCAGCGTCCAAAACCGCGTCTAGTGAGCTACATCTCATTGAAAATGGCCACTTCGACCTGACGACCTTCCCTAGTAAGACACACTGCACGATTTTCTGAGGGGTGGGAAGTCCTGCATAAACTAGTGTTGTACGCTGCGCATCATAGGCGTGTCAGAGGGGATGGGTTTGGCGCAGCGGCCAACGTTTCTTGTTTTTTTTCTGGGATGTGTTTGGCACACTGCCAGCGAATTCCAATTTTTTTCCGGAATAGCTCTGGCGCAGCGGGAGACCCGTTATTTTTGTCTATTTTTTTCTGGCGACGAGCGAGAAGCTGCATCATTTCGTTCGTATTAGTTGTTCCCACCAGTCGTCACCTACGCTCTGCAGCAACTGCTGGAGAATGGGTTGGCGGCGCGCCAAACCAGGCCTCACTGACACGCCCCGTCATCCGCAGCGAACAACACTATTTCCTAGCTATTTAACCTTATGTGCACTTGAAGACGCTACCACTTAAATGTGAAATCAACTGAGTCAAAGTGTGAGTGCCGCGCACGTCTTGCTGCTTCCAACATCCTCTGCGACTTGAGCCGCAGAGTGGATGTCCCACAGTCAGGGATCGTGCAGTGCGAGCAATTCTGGGCTCTGTTCTCAGAAGTATGGCAGAAACCCGAGTTTTTTCGTATTACCATTGGGAACAATCGGCTTACAAAATCTCACCGATACTGATGCTGCTGTCGAGGTGGAGTGAAGAGATGAGCTCGCGTGCTTTGCATCTTCCAGACTGAATATATTCATACTCACCATAGTTTTGCACAACTGTTTATCAAAAAACCAAATTTCTACCTTGCACCCGGCACTCCAGGCGCTACTGGTCCTTCGATAGCGACATTGACATTCGAACTAAATACTGCTTTTCTCGGGATGAATTGAATAAATGACAAGGCTTAGACGGTACCCTCTCCTTTTCTTTTCCTCATACTGCTCACCACCGGGAACATCTGTTGGCTGTGGAGAGAACACTTGCCGGAAGTATGCCTGTATAACATATTTCAGAAGCTGTCTTGGCGAAACATTTGGACCAAAAGGCTGCTTCTATTACAAGGGAACCCCAACAGGTCGATCCGGCCATTTACAATGAGATGTATACGTATGGACGTGTCTTGAGCCGCTGAATCCGAATCTGCCCTCCGATTTTGCGGAACGATTCTCTGAAGGGAGTTACGGACCATTTAATCTTTGCTGTGTTTGCACAAGCTGACCAGGAAAGGCCAACACGTCAGCCCGGCCATTTGCAACGAAATGTACATCATTGTACTCATCTTGCCACGATGAACACAAGACTATCTTTAAAATTTGCGGAACGATTCTCTGAGCGGAGTTGTGAGGTTTTTCTTTATTGCTTTTCTTCTTCCGGGCGCGCCAGCGCCAAAGCGTTAGCACCTGTAGCGCAACTCACAGCGCTCTTCGCGCAAAACAGGTATCATATTCGTGTTCAGGGGGTCAAATAACCCCTAGAGACGTCACCCCAGCGGAATCCGAGGTTCTAACTCATTTTCGAGAAAATGGGTTATGAATAGCTGTGGCTGACTGATAGCCAAGCGATACCACAAC